CGGGGGCGGCGAGTCGGGCGGTAGTAACCTAGTGTCCACGACAGAGGGTTACGTGATGTCCCCATCCGACCTGTTGCTATTGTCTGCAGTAGATGCAGTGTTGCTGGCATTTAGTGATGGTTGCTTTAACCATTTTCGTATATCCGTGATCATCCACAGATGTGTGTCCCTGCTGTGGAAGCACTTTGGAAATGATGCTCGCACAGCGGCGCAGGTCACGCGCACCTGACACAATTTGTTTTATATTGTATAATATTTTTCGATCCCTTCTCTTTTTTTAATAGAGGGTGCATAACATTCAACTGAGGGTGCAATGCATGCCTATGCACCCCCGTAGAACCGGGCCTGGCTCAGTACTTTAACTTCCTGTGTTTTTGGGATCAATAAAGTATTTTTTATTGATGTTTACATTTCTTAATATGATTTGAACAGAACTGCGTTGCCAGGCAACAGCACGGTCAGCTGCTGTCAATCACTCCTTATCTAGAATGGAACCTTCAGACTGGTGACCTCATCTCTGGCTGGCTTTGGTCTCTGAGATGGAACCCTCAGAAGGATGACCTCATCTCTGGCTTTGGTCTCTGAGATGGAACCCTCAGAATTATGACCTCAGAAGCTTTGGTGTCAGAGTCTGTGAGAGTCTGCAGACTCTACAGGTATCTCTGAGAGACAGGTCATCACAGCATGAGCAGCAGAAACAGGGTTTGTGGTCAGCGAACATTAGGATACTTGCACGTATAGTTTAGTCAGGTCATCTTCACAGGTGAACAACACTTAGTCAATTCACTGTAGACCTTAAAGTCCAATAAGTACATTTAGCCCCTGTTAGCTAAACAGCAGCTCATTCATAGAGATGGAGGACAACAGAGAGCAGCTGGCGGTCAGTTCTTCAGACGTTCCTTCAGATGTTCCTTCAGATGTTCCTTCAGATGTTCCTTCAGATGTTCCTCTGAGGAAATATCAGCCTCCAGTGAAACCAAAGGGCTGCAAAGTGCATGAGTTTATGATCCAGCTTCTGAAGAAACAGGTTCAGGATGGGAAGCTGGAGCTGGAGAGGAGTTTAAGAAGAAAGAAGGAGGAGAAGATGCAGGACCAGGCCTCCCAGACGGAGGAGGAAGACCTGAAGGAGGAGAAGAGAGTCTTAACCAATGAGAAGCTGAACAGGAAATATTCAACGCTCCTCAAGTGGTGCCATAAGACCACAAGAGAGATGGACGCTTTGCTAGAGGAGAACCAGGATCTCACAGAACCTAAAGAACCTTGTGAGGAAGTAAAGGGTGGAGAGATAGATGCTTTGCTAGAGGAGAACCAGGATCTCACAGAACCTGAAGAACCTTGTGAGGAAGTAAAGGATGGAGAGATGGATGCTTTGCTAGAGGAGAACCAGGATCTTAAAGAACCTAAAGAACCTTGTGAGGAAGTAAAGGATGGAGGGATAGACGCTTTGCTAAAGGAGAACCAGGAACTCACAGAACCTGAAGAACCTTGTGAGGAAGTAAAGGATGGAGAGATGGATGCTTTGCTAGAGGAGAACCAGGATCTTAAAGAACCTAAAGAACCTTGTGAGGAAGTAAAGGATGGAGGGATAGACGCTTTGCTAAAGGAGAACCAGGAACTCACAGAACCTAAAGAACCTTGTGAGGAAGTAAAGGATGGAGAGATGGATGCTTTGCTAGAGGAGAACCAGGATCTCACAGAACCTAAAGAACCTTGTGAGGAAGTAAAAGATGGAGAGATGGATGCTTTGCTAGAGGAGAACCAGGATCTCACAGAACCTAAAGAACCTTGTGAGGAAGTAAAAGATGGAGAGATGGATGCTTTGCTAGAGGAGAACCAGGATCTTAAAGAACCTAAAGAACCTTGTGAGGAAGTAAAGGATGGAGGGATAGACGCTTTGCTAAAGGAGAACCAGGAACTCACAGAACCTAAAGAACCTTGTGAGGAAGTAAAGGATGGAGAGATGGATGCTTTGCTAGAGGAGAACCAGGATCTCACAGAACCTAAAGAACCTTGTGAGGAAGTAAAAGATGGAGAGATGGATGCTTTGCTAGAGGAGAACCAGGATCTCACAGAACCTAAAGAACCTTGTGAGGAAGTAAAAGATGGAGAGATGGATGCTTTGCGAAAGGAGAACCAGGATCTTAAAGAACAGAAGAAACATTGTGAGGAAGTAAAGGTTTATATGGAGATTCAGCGGAACGTCTTGAGGAATGACTTGGAGATCCTGAACCTGAGATATGGAAATCTCCTCAAGACGCAGATGAAGGCCGAAGCAGAGATGGACATCTTGAGAAAGGAGAACCAGGATCTGAGAGAACTGCAGGAACCGTGTGCTGACAACAATGATGGGGAGATCGTCACTTTGTTGAGGATCAACAGAAGCCTCCATGTGGATCTGGAGATCGCCCGCCTGCGAGAGAAGAACTGGACGCTGACGCTACAATGTGGGGTGGAGGAGGAGGAGGGGGAGGAGGAGGAAGAGGAGGGGGCTGTGGAGGAAGAGGAGGGGGCTGTGGAGGAAGAGGAGGGGGAGGAGGAGGAAGAGGAGGGGGCTATGGAGGAAGAGGAGGGGGCTGTGCAGGTGGATGAGTTTGAACATAGCTCTGTTCTGATCTCGAGCACAACGCGGCGGTTGAATTGGTTCAAAGCCTTCTTCAACCGCCGCCATCGGAACATCCCGAGTACATAGTCTACTTCACTTAAAAGTGAAGAAGATTCAGCAGCTCTGACATCAGCTGATCACTGAGAACCAATAGATTTAGACATCAAAACAAGTCAGAGTGAGCAACTTGTACTCAGTCTGGATATTTATTAGATCATTAGAACAGTTATTAGATCAGTTATTAGAACAGTTATTAGATCAGTTATTAGATCAGTTATTAGAACAATTATTAGATCAGTTATTAGAGAAGATAAAAAGTCCACTTTAATGAAATGTAATGTCACTGTATCGGGTTTCCCTGTGTCTCAGGGTTCCCCCGCATTGTGACAGGATTTGGGATCATTAAGCGTTCCCAGATTCTGTCCTCATGAAAAAAAGAACCTCCCTTCCTTTCAGCTCTGTGGGTTCTGATAATAATAAGGTTGTGTGTGTGTTGGGGGGGGGGGGGGGGGGGGGGGGGGTGGGGGGGGGGGGGGGGGTGGGGGTTAAAGTCCAGGACCATTTGGGGCAGGGGGAAAGGTGGGAGGCAGGGTGGAGAGGTCAGGGGAGAGATGTCAGAGGGGGGGAGAGAGAGGGGAGAGAGGGAGGGGGAATGTGAATTCATGTTTTTAAAGCTTTCCACTAATCAACTGTTTGCAATGAGAGTTCAAATGGTATTTATATTTATTCTGAAAAGAATCGCAAAAATAAAAATAATTATTGAATTTATTGGAAGTGTAATATATTTATTGTATATTTGTGTTCTTATGTATGATATTTTCTCCTTTATATACAAATATGTTGGTGATCTATTTTATGAAATAAGTGACAGAGCACTGGAGCTCTGTGATTGGATCATCTCTCGTCCAATCACAGAGCACTGGAGCTCTGTGATTGGATCATCTCGTTATTTTGACGGGACTTTTTCCTTTTAAAAATTGAATAATTAAAGACTTTTACTTTGAAGTTCTTGATGTTTGCTTTTTTCGTTCTATAATAGAGCCGAGTTACACACACACACACACACACACACACACACACACACACACACACACACACACACACACACACACACACACACACACACACACACACACACACACACACACACACACACACACACACACACACACACACAACTTGACCTAGTCACTCTCACTCAGGGCGTCGGAGATGTCCACCTGCAGCGTGGCGTCCGTCTGCAGATCCACGTTCACCGCCTGCAGCTAGAATAACCACATATCCCATAATGCAACACACATCCCATAATGCACCACAAGTCTCATAATGATTCAAAAGCTGTCTGTTGTGTGAAGTCAATAATCAATACCTGCTGACGGAGAGGAGACTGTCAGGGTATTTTAATAACATGTTTATGTCTTGGTTTAGATTCATTTACAGTTTAGGGTCTGTTGTTGTTGTTTTGTTTTTAACAGTGGCGAGCCGTGACTTTTATACCTAGGCCCTCTGACCCCCCCTTCCCTCGAAAAAAAAGAGTCATAATAATTTTCGAATCATAAATCTAATCGATAGATTTATGATCGATAGATTTATGATTAGAAAATGATAAAAGTAGGGTAGACATGTGGAGATTATCCGGCTGAACAAAACGTGCATTTATCAAACAGGTTTGTTTCCCACAGATCTTATTTCCAGCTATTTTCCAAAACCCTCTGGAGAAATCCTATTGCTTTTTTGTCAAGGGAACCAGCAGCTTACTTCCGGGTTTTAGGACGCGTCACTGCACCTCTCTATACACATGAATAAACCTCACAGCGGGTGGAACTTGTCATAAAGTCCGCGAAAATGATGCCCACCCATTTAGAGGGAAGATATGATTGGTCAATTGTACTGTCATTTGATATTACTCTCTCGTTGAGTTACCCTAGCTTAGCCCTCTGTGAATTCACAGCTGGACCACCAATCAGCTCCTGTCTTCACCTTGCAGAGAGGGCCAAAGGAGCTTCTTTCATTTAACCCTTCACATTCCAACAGAAACTGAACAGGCAGGTTCTAAGGACTTTAGGGCCCTGACGGCTCGCCACTGGTTTCTAACTTGTAGTAAATGAGGTCTCTCCCTCAGGCCTTATATTGTAGAGTAAATCAAGAACTTGTATTTCTGTATTTAAGGTTTTTAACGGAGATACATCTGTCCCCTGACTCAGATAAGACGTGTGTGTGTGTGTGTGTGTGTGTGTGTGTTAGTGATGTGGTGCGCCCTGCAGACAAGCCGTTTATTTTGTATTTCTTAAGTAATACAAGACAGAATGATACTGTATGATGATCTCCGCGCTCCGGCTGCTCCGTGCATGATGGATGCAGTGACATGTAATATCCAAGGATTAGAGACGGTTGGATGCTATATATATTTATACTTTATTTTTTTCAAAATACCAAACAGATCATGCATTTTAGCCATGCCTCATTTTGCTCAATTTGACAATTTTTAGCTCTGTTTTAGCAAGGGCAGATTCAGTGAGAACAGCACCATCTACAGGCCTGGCATATGTACTACAGCGTCTCCAGCGCTTTAGAACGGCAATGGCCGTGGCTGTCTCCTCCTGATTGGTGGAGTTGGCCCAATAGCCGTAGCGCCACCGTCCTGACGTCAGGACAGTGTTCAAATCTGGATCAGTTTTTATCAGATCCGTTGCAGCCCCTTTTTTAGAGATTTGGGTATGGAGGAAAATAGAGAGGGTTGTATTTTCTGACACTTGGTGAGTTCCCTGGAACACCGGGGACACATATTCATGTATAAAAGACGTACAAAAGTGCATTTTGCATGATAGGTCCCCTTTAAATGTTAAAGTATATCCAAGTTTTTGGGTGTAAATGTATTAGTATCTTACTGTACAATAACCTTTTAATTTGTTTTGAGAATATGCACAACTTTCTGGGGGAAATATGTGAGTTTTTTTCTAGTAAATGTACCATCTAAAAGTAAGAGAACTCCTTAGCCCACTGTCCCCTTCTATCTCAACTACCTGCAAACACTCCAGGTTTGAGAAGCTGATATTTCCTTCTTCTTACACCTGGTCTGATTATACACTGCATTACATGTTACTAGATGTTTAGGGTGTGTTTTAGGGTCTGAGTTTGGACGTTATCTTGGGGAAGAGTCTGAGGGCGTTCTGCGTGGTGACGTCCATCACCGTCTGCAGAGAGACTCCTTTGACCCGACTGATGAACTCTGCAGAAACCACCACGTTCCTCGGCTCGTTCCTCACCTGAAGACAGAAACACAGCATTAACAGAAACAAATAATACCCGTTTACACCCTATGGTTTACACTTGACCTCTGAAATGTCCCAATTGACCAATCAGAATCCAATATTCAACTAAGCTGTTTAATAATGCGAAATACATATTATAGAAATACAGAATTTAGTTGTAAATATCTGAAAATTGAATGTCAAATACCAACTTTAACTTCTCATGTAAATGATTTCATTAAATTATTTACTATATGTGTGTGTGTGTGTGTGTGTTTGTGTATGTGTGTGTGTGTCTGTGTGTGTGTATCTGTATGTGTGTGTCTGTGTGTCTGTGTGTGTGTTTGTGAGCATGTGTGTCTATTGTATGTCTGTATGTGTGTGTGTGTGTGTGTGTCGGTGTGTGTGTATGTGTGTCTTTGTGTGTGTGTGTGTGTGTGTGTGTGTCGGTGTGTGTGTGTGTGTGTGTCGGTGTGTGTGTGTATGTGTGTCTTTGTGTATGTGTGTGAGTATGTGTGTGTGTGTGTGTCGGTGTGTGTGTGTGTGTGTGTGTGTGTATGTGTGTGTATGTGTGTGTGTCTGGCATTTGTGTGTGTGTGTGTGTGTCGGCCGTGTGTGTGTGTTGGTGTAATTGCGTGGTGTGTGTTGGTGTGTGAGTTTGATTTGGTGTGTGTGTGGGGCAGGGGTGTCCGTTGTGTGTGTGTTGTGTGTTGTTGTGTCTGTCTGTCGTGTGCCTTTGTTGTGTTGTATGTGTTGTGTGTAGTTCGGTGTGTGTTGTGTGTGTGTATGTTGTGTGTATGTGTGTGTATGTGTGTGTGTGTGTGTGTGTGTATGCGTGTGTGTGTGTGTATGCGTGTGTGTGTGTGTGTGTGTGTGTGTATGTGTGTGTGTGTGTGTGTGTATAGCGCTTTTCCTAACGCTCAAAGACGCATTTATCTTTTAGTTGTCAGTGTTCAAGCATGTTTTAATAAATGTCTTTACTACTTTTTACATTTTTAGTCTTACTTCTTATTCTTGTATCAATACTTGTATTTCATGTATTTAAATGTTTACTTTAACATACGTTGTTTGTATGAATATGTTTATTCTTTCATATTTTTTGTTATACTTGGTTTGACATTTTTAACTTCTTATGTTAATTTAAATATTTATCCTTTATTCTTAAATGGAGCAAGTATTCTGTTTCCTCTGAAGCCTCTGAAGCCTCTGAAGCCTCTGAAGCCTCAGGTCATTACAAACAGAGCAAACTTTGCATATATGCATATTTTAATATCTTGTTTTTGGGTTTATTTGACTGAAATGTAGATAAATATTTGACCTGTTTCTCCGGACCCAAAGCGGGAGAATCCGTCTCCAGACAGATGTTTTCTAACGGCAGCTGTTTCACCAGCTTCTGCTTCTTAGTGGGAAATAAAACAGAGAAATAATCAGAAATCCTTCATTTGTCCGGCAACAGGGACATTTACAAGATTACAACAGCACACAATAAGTGAAAAACTAAAATAGCAGATGTGTACACCATGGTAATAACCGTGAAATTGCAGGAGGGTATATTGATTTAATTTGTATATTTACTGTTGGGAAAATAGTGAATGTCCTCTTCCAATATGAGAGTAACATGATATCAAAGGTATCCCAACTGTAGCTGTGAACATGACAGGATGTATGATTACCTAGAAGAGCATCAGGACTGTTTGAGGCATATGATAGCTATGTGATTAACATGATGATTCAGCCTCTATGGAGATAGACATATGACAAGCATGATCATTTCTGACGTGGAGCTAATCTGAAGTAAACATTGAATACTGCTTTCTATTCCTCCATCTTGTGACTGTGTAACTCCCTCTCTTGTATATCAGCATGTGAAGGACACTGTTCAGGAACTAGTTGATGCTCTGTATGTGATGACTACTTCCATTCTGGAGAGGATCAGAGATACATGGATCCTGAGAATGAAGCTCAAGCCGGGGACCAGTGATTATCACAAATGTTAAGTATTCAGAAGAAGACAGGATTTTGAGAAAAAAATACAGAATTTTGAGATTTTTAGAAAAAATACAGAATTTTGAGATTTTGAGAAAAAATACAGAATTTTGAGATTTTGAGAAAAAATACAGAATTTTGAGTCAGAAATACAAATGCTCTGTATGTGATGACTACTTCCATTCTTGAGAGGATCATAAATACATGGATCCTGAGATTGAAGCTCAAGCCGGAGACCAGGGAGAGTGTTCTAACATTTACAGACAGTGTGATTGTACATCAGGGGTATTTCAGACTATGTGCTTGGGGGGTCTACCAGGTTAATACATTTTTTTTTCATTTAATCGTTTATTTGAACCGGGACACAGTATTCAATGTGGGATAGAATCATACAGTGGAGGTATGAGTTTGCACCATTGACAGTTAAGAAGGGTCTGATTTAAAATTGTGCAAGTTGAATTTAATGGTATTTGATACTTTCTTGATATGTTTCTTAAAAGTCAAGTTCGAGTCCAATATGACTCCAAGATACTTGAAGTGGGAGACTAGTTCGATTTCTCACTTATAATAATAATAATCACTTATCATTAATCATTTAAAGTGATGAAGGTAAATAATAATAATAATAATAAATGTATATAGCGCTTTTCCTGGTGCTCAAAGCGCGTTACAAGCAAGTAAAGAAGAAAAATAATAACTGGGTGAAGAGAAGGAGGAGTACCTGCTCACTGCGGATGATAGAGGGGGGGATGGAGAAGAAATACCCAGCTTTCACCCCCTCCATGGCCACCGACGGCTTCCCATCAAACGCATGGAGAAGAGCCTTCTCCACCCCTGGTGGACAGGTAGGGGAAGTGCAGCAAGTCAGTGAAACAGCAGAGAATACAAAAAATGGAAATCAAGTTTATTTATTTTTTTATTCTAACCTTTTATGCTCTTAACCTTTTTTATATTACCATATTTTATTCAATATGCTCCTTGGATAACGTTATATTTCATCTTTTTATTTTATTTTCTCCTCATAGCATTGTGAACATAGACTGTATATATAAATGGGCGTAGTGTCTGTGACGTCACCCATAGGATTCTGCAGAGTTGCTGAGAAGCCCTTAGTAGGCGGAGTCGGTCGCTGCCGTCACAGTGACGTCAGAGCCTAACTCCCGCCTGCTCCCGCCTGATCCAAATAAGGGCAAAGAGGCGGAGCCGAGGCGGCGTAAGATAAGTCCGATATTTAAATGAAGAATACTCCACCAGGCACCAACACAACAAACACGTCCGAGTTCAAGTGGTGTTCCCCGGATCAGCCGAGCAGCCGAGCCCCTGTAGCATCCTGGAGCTAACAGAGCTAACGGAGCTAGCAGAGGGACAGAAAGCTAGAAGCAGCAGTCACCGCAGAGACCTGTCCATCAAAGTGACCACGCCCTAATTTATGCAAAAACTTTAAGACCTAATATAACTAAAATTATCCGCTGATTTACAGACGTCTCTTACCCAATGTTAGTCAATGGGGAAAAGTCTTTCTGGGCCCGGTGACGTCACGGACTGATACGGAAGTTGCAGTACCGCCGTTTGGACACAACGAATATTTTCATCAGAGTCCGGTGCACTTCCTGGGGGCTTGCTCTGAATCCAGGGTCAAGCTAAGCCCCTCCCCTTCAGACCGACCCCAACCATCCATTCACCACCACCAGGGTCAAGTTAAGCCACTCCCCTTCAGACCGACCCCAACTACCCATTCACCACCACCAGGGTCAAGCTAAGCCACTCCCCTTCAGACCGACCCCAACTACCCATTCACCACCACCAGGGTCAAGCTAAGCCACTCCCCTTCAGACCGACCCCAACCATCCATTCACCACCACCAGGGTCAAGCTAAGCCACTCCCCTTCAGACCGACCCCAACTATCCATTCACCACCACCAGGGTCAAGCTAAGCCACTCCCCCTTCAGACCGACACCAAACTACCCATTCACCACCACCAGGGTCAAGCTAAGCCCCTCCCTTCAGACCGACCCCAACTATCCATTCACCCACCACCAGGGTCAAGCTAGAGCCACTCCCCCTTCAGACCGACCCCAACTATCCATTCACCACCACCAGGGTCAAGCTAAGCCCCTCCCCTTCAGACCGACCCCAACTATCCATTCACCACCACCAGGGTCAAGCTAAGCCACTCCCCTTCAGACCGACCCCAACTATCCATTCACCACCACCAGGGTCAAGCTAAGCCCCTCCCCTTCAGACCGACCCCAACTATCCATTCACCACCACCAGGGTCAGCTAAGCCCCTCCCTTCAGACCGACCCCAACTATCCATTCACCCACCACCAGTGTCTCTAGACCCCGGGGGGTTTCATCGGTTCGGTTCTCCCCTCCCGTATGATACTCCTACACAACGGGGCCTAATCACCAAAACTCCATTACATTCATTTGTGTATTCCTGGCAATAAATATGTATTCTTCCATCAACACCGTCTCTCCTGATTGAAATAATAATACAAATAATAATATGTGTTACCTAGTTCCCTGAGCAGCTGGATGGTGGGTCGTCCTGCAGAACGGGAGTGAACATTTCTGGAAATAAAAAACATACATTTCCTGCACCAACTGAGACTGTAAATACTCTTTAATAAGCTCTTAAAAATATCTCTGCATGTATTTAATATCTTAATATGTGTATCAATAAGATAAACATTTGGCATTGCATATTAACCGCATATTGTGTCCATGAAATGGGATTTAATAAACTACATGTCAATCATTTATTTGTTGTTTTATAGTGGGATCTAATCAGAGTTCAGGTTTCCTCCATCAAATCAAATCAAATCAAATCAAGTTTTATTTATAAAGCACATTTAAAAGCGATTTTTGGTCGAGCCAAAGTGCTGTACATGTAATAAAAACACATTACTACAATCACAATAAAAGACAATAATTTACAACAGAAATATAAAAATCACACACAGGGAAAAGTCAGGAGTCGTGCTCCGCTCTGACTAGAAGGCCAGAGAGAAGAAGTGAGTTTTTAGTGCAGATTTAAAAACCCCTAGGGTCTGGGCCGACCTCACATGGAGGGGCAGAGTGTTCCAGAGCCTAGGGCCAGCTGCTGCGAAGGCTCGGTGCCCTCGGGTTTTGAGCCTGGTCTTGGGCACTACCAGCAGCAGCTGGTCAGCAGACCTTAAAGCTCTGGCTGGGGTGTAGCGCTGGAGGAGTTCAGCTATATAGGCCGGAGCCAGCCCATTTAGTGCTTTAAAACAAATAAAAGGAGTTTAAAATCAATTCTGAACCGAACTGGAAGCCAGTGTAATGAGGCCAGAATAGGGGTGATGTGGTCACGCTTTTTGTGGCCAGTGAGAAGACGTGCAGCTGCGTTTTGGACTAGCTGCAGGCGTCTAATTGAGGCCTGGTCCATACCCACGTACAGAGCGTTGCAGTAATCCAGTCTCGAGGTTTTTCTATTTCAGATGTTTACATGTTGGATTGTTTATTTCTAGTCGTTTCATTTCTCTTATGTACAATGCCATGTCTTTTTATGCTGCTGCAACGCAAACATGTCCCACATTGGGATGAACAAAGTACTTCTGATCTGATCTGATCTTATCTTTCTGGTTATTTCCTCTATCTTTACTCACAGAGGCAGATCCAGCTCTTTGGCGATCTGAGCCTGACGGATCAGAACTTTCCTCTGGACGTCTTTATCCGTCTCGCCTCTCACAAACCGGGGCGTGAAATCCAGACCGACCTGCACCACAGGGGGGGGGGGGGGAGTTTAATAAAGGCAAGACTGCTTCAAGTATCAAGTTTCAAGTTTCAAGGCTTTAATTGTCATGCGTACATAGCTACAGTGGAGTTATGAGAATGAACATCTGAGGTCACAGGCTCCTCCAACAGAGCAACACAATAACACGGATAATAGTGCGTAAGTAAGTAAATACAGTAAAATATAATAGAACAGAATATAATAGAAACAGTGCAGAATAGTCTATACACAGATATATCATCACTCAATTCAAGCACCAGACACTTTTTACGCTGCTATGGACTAATGTACATTTCCCAAAGACATTGAAGTGACTGTTATTTTGTTGATTGTTGTGCTTGTATTTATGACTTAAAGTGGACCTATCATGCTATATTTGAATAACATAGTGTAGGACCATACCTATATAAGGCATATTTATACTTTTTTTTTTTCAAAATACCAAACAGATCATGCATTTTAGCCATGCCTCATTTTGCTCCATTTGACAATTTCTAGCTCTGTTTTTGCAAGGGCTGATTCAGTGAGAACAGCACCACCTACAGGCCTGGCATATGTACTACAGCGTCTCCAGCGCTTTCGAAAGGCAATGGCCGTGGATGTCTCCTCCTGATTGGTGGAGTTGGCCCAATAGCCGTAGCGCCACCGTCCTGACGTCAGGACAGTGTTCAAATCTGGATCAGTTTTTATCAGATCCGTTGCAGCCCCTTTTTTAGAGATTTGGGTATGGAGGAAAATAGAGAGGGTTGTGTTTTCTGACACTTGGTGAGTTCCCTGGAACACCGGGGACACATATTCATGTAGAAAAGACGTACACAAGTGCATTTTGCATGATAGGTCCCCTTTAATGTGTGCATATGTGTTTGTTGATTGTGTATATATATACACAATCAACAAACACATATGTGTATATATATATATATATATATATATATATAGGTGTATACATATTTGCATACATATTTTTATATATATTTGTTTTTATATTCGGGATTGTGGGAAATGGTAATTTTCGATCTGTCTGTACACACAAACTGAAAGATTGACAATAAAGTTGACTTTGAGAATCAGAATCAGTCAGAGTCAACTTTATTGTCAATCTTTCAGTTTGTGTGTACAGACAGAGAGATCCAAATACCGTTTCCCACAATCCAGAATACTAAAATACAAATATATACAAAAATATGTATAAAATATGTATATCCTATATATACACAATCAACAGACACATTTATACATATGCACACATTAAGATAAAAAACACAACAATCAAAATATACAAAATAACAGTCACTTCAATGTCTTTGGGAATGTACATTAGTGCAAGACTGTCATATTGATATATCATCAGAATCAGGTTTATTTTCCAGGTTGAACACATACGAGGAATTTTACTTGGTATTGTGGTGCATACATAAAAAAACACAGATAGAAAACTATTTGAAGAAACTATAATAACATTAAAAAAAATATGAATTAAATTAAAAAAAAAATATATATAGCAGTATTTACATTGAAATAGAGTTGAAATAAAATATGTGCAGTAATAAAAAATTGGAACATAAAAATCAGAGATAACGTATTATCGTACCTCTCCGATGGCCACCAGCTGGTCTTTGTATTTCTCTATTAAAGGCAGAGCAGCATCTAGATCCTGCAGGAGACAGAGAAAATCTTATTTATTATGCTTTAAACCTTCATTAAAACATACAAATTAAGTTGTACCTTGGTCGTGAGGAGGTCCAATGAAGAAGAAGAAGAAGAAGAAGAAGAAGAAGAAGAAGAAGAAGAAGAAGAAGAAGAAGAAGAAGAAGAAGAAGAAGAAGAAGAAGAGAAGAAGAAGAAGAAGAAGAAGAAGAAGAAGAAGAAGAAGAAGAAGAAGAAGAAGAAGAAGAAGAAGAAGAAGAAGAAGAAGAAGAAGAAGAAGAAGAAGAAGAAGAAGAAGAAGAAATGTAATTAATTTAATCAATAATTAATCAATTAATTTATAAAGTCAATAATCAAAATCTAGTTTGCCTGAAAGGAATTTAGAATCTGAACTCTTGCTCGCCAACTCAAACAAACCACTACAGGTGTACACATGTGATTTATTTGTAATCATTTGTGTGATTTTGTTGCGGAAGAAATCTCTGAAGTTGGGCCGAATATTTTCGAGATCTTCACCACACTATGTTAACACTTATTTAACTTTCAAAAAATCAACAGAGTCAAAAGAGTTCCAATAGAATAGAGTTTACTGAAGAGTCAACCAAATACACGAGGCAGTTCATGAAGTCACTGCCTTTACAATGTTGAGTATCGGTTGGTCTCAGGTACTAGGGGAGTCTCAGGCTCTCCATTACGTAAGACACCATTATTTCTTCTACCATCCTGAATTCCCCTACTCAATCATATTTTGACACGGAGGCGTGTGGTGCAGTGGGTTGTGCGTTGGTGTTGGGATCAGGGGGGGCACAGGTTCAAACCCCACTGCAGTCAGCATGTCGTTGTGTCCCTGAGACACTTCACCCCAAAGTGCTCCTGTGGGGATTATCCACAGTATTGAGTATGTATGTCGCTTTGGATAAAAGCCACATACATACTCAATACTGTGGGGATTGTCCTCAGTATTGAGTATGGATGTCGCTTTGGATAAAAGCGTCTAACAAGTAACATGTACTGTAATGTAATATTTGTTCGACATCTCAACACAGGTCAGTTTCAGCCTAGGTCATATTTAATGGTGTCTCAACCATGCTTGTCCTTAGCTACTAACTCCCTCTCTCATAATTCTCCATCCTTTAGCATTACACCATTATTTTCTCAGTTTTCTGTCTTTGAACTCAAGGATCCAATGAGCAGGACATTCCACAGATAAAAGGTTAGTGTATGTGTTTCTGAGCATGTATGGGCGTGGACGGCTGTGGCTCAGTGGGTAGTGTGCTGGACTTCAAATCAGGGGATAGCAAGTTCGAGTCCCACTGCAGTCAGCATGTCGTTGTGTCCCTGAGACACTTCACCCCAAATTGCTCCTGTGGGGATTGGCCACAGTACTGAATCTATGTAAGTCGCTTTGGATAAAAGCGTCTAACAAATGACATGTAATGTATGCTTTCAATGGTTAGGGTTGTTATTTTAATCTGTCCCATACATACAAAAAATATCCCACAATCTGACCCTTTAAATTTGAGTTTACCTGGAGAGACGCGCCCCTCTGCTGCTCCGGGGAAACTTCCTGAACCGGGTGGACTCCCAGGCACGGGAAAATAAAACCTGGAAACCTGAGAAGAAGAGAGTCATCAGTACAAAGAAAACATTTGATTCATTTCAGTCTGATAGTTATAGTTACCTCTGTGACAACTCAATGATCTTCTCAAATTCCCCAGCATGTTCGGCTACGGCTAATATGGCTAACAATCCAGCCTGGGAAATAAAAAACATGTTATTTATAAAGTGCTAATAACGATGATCAATCACCAACACTGAATAATAAAAAAAATAAGCTTTTTAATGTTATTATAGTTTTCTTAAAATGTGTTTTTAATTGTTGGTTTACTTATGCACCATGACATCAAGTCAAATTCCTCGTACGTGTCAACCTACTTGTTAATACACCTGATTCTGATTGATACCAACACTAAAAGAGTTAGTATTTATTTTGTATGCATAGGAATATGTTAAACAAATTCACTCTAGGTTAGTAATTGTGTTTACTGATACAGAAGTAGATAGGGTTAATACAACATATTGTAGTAGGTTAAAGAAATGCTGGTAGTTATATGTTGGTGTTTTTCTATTGCTGCATCACCTAAAGAGGATCCTAGTAACACCTATTAAATGCTACTTGTTATAGACTGTTTCTGTACTTTATTAAACTCTGTAGCTGACACCACTCACCTGTTTTGAACTCTCCACCACCTCCTCTAAGTCCTGACAACAGAAAGAGGAACATGTGTCGCTTAATAAGACATTTCATGTACAAAATAAATGTGCTTTAAATGTTATACTAACCTTGTCAAAATCCTTAGAGGAGATGTGACAGTGGCAGTCAACGTATCCCTGCATGTGGACACAGCGTAGCGTTCAAAGCATGCTTTAAAAAACGATCAAAACAATACCTTATTCTGCAAAAGCGAGGCGGACTGCGCATGCGTAGTGGAGTACAGCGCAGCATTGCCACGGGAAGAGGCGTTCCATGCCACGTGATTGGTCGAACCAGAGGGGAAGAGGCGTTCCATCTCACGTGATTGGTCGAGACTCAGCAAATTTGCCGAGGGTCACCTGACTGAACGTTCCAACTGTTTTAAAGGAGCCGCTACCCTTTTTTATCACCGCAGCTTCTCTTCCTCACTGCTCTGCTCTGTTGTTATTTGATGTCTCTTGACTCTTATTATTGTATTTTAAACGTTGTGCTTCATCACGTGATGATTCCTCAGTACCCCGGATATTTGAGCAACACTCGGTGATTTTGTGGTGAAAGATGGCAGCTGGATCGGTGTGTTTCTTCCTCTTCTTCTCGGTGCTGTTTTGCTCCAGCCGAGCGAAGTTCGAGCCGAACTGGAGTTCGCTCGACAGCCGGCCGCTGCCCGAATGGTTCGACCAGGCGAAGTTCGGCATCTTCATCCATTGGGGAGTTTTCTCCGTGCCAAGCTTCGGCAGCGAGTGGTTCTGGTGAGGATTTAGTACTCAGTAAAAGTTGAAGTACTCAGATCTTGTACTTGAGTAAAAGTAGAAGTACTCAGGTCTTGTACTTGAGTAAAAGTAGAACCACTCAGATCTTGTACTTGAGTAAAAGTAGAAGTACTCAGATCTTGTACAGTACTTGTATCCTCTGGAGCAGAGAGAGGAGCTGTGCATTATTGTTATTGATTAATGCATCAGTCTTTCTTAGGGTCAAAAACACTAAACTCACAACTTAAAATGAAAGCATTTAGTTTATTTAATAAAAGAGCACATGTGAAAAGTGACAGTAGATATAGATTAGTTGCAATTTGGTGCTATATATATATATATATATATATATAAAAATTAAAAAAATCTAATTTCTTCTTTTTTTTTTAAACACCTTGAATTTCAGGGGGGGCGCGGGGCTCTGTTGGCGGGGCGCAGCGCCCCTCCAAGACAATGGTAGGGGAAACACTTAACCCTATACAAAGAGGGTTGACTTTAACTATATCTTGCAGTTGATGTCATACATTGAATTATTCTCCTTGTGTTTCCTCGTATTAATTAAAGGTGGGGTAGGTAATTTTGGAGAAACCAGCTCGAGTGCGCTAGAATTTGAAACAGCCGGAAAAAATCTGCCACTTCCTTACAGAGCCCCTCCTCCAACACACACGAACGTGCACATGACCAATGAGGGCACGAGATAAGTTTGTGCACAGATGGAAGGCTGACAGGCAGGTAGGCCATCCAGTTATTTTAGCCGGGCCGGCTCAGATGATTGGTCGTGCTTTTTACAGTACTACGGCTTCCACAGATGACATTTGTTTATGGATTTTTTGTCAAAGCATTTCAGATATTCATTGTTATCGGGATGTTAAGAGCATTCCATGGAATATAACAAAAAGTGTATCTCGAGCCGGTTTCTCAAACTTACCTACCCCACCTTTAAGTATAGAGGTGGGAGAAGTACTCAGATATTTTACTTGAATTAAAAGTAACTATACCAAATTTGTAGAAATACTTTGTTACAAGTCCTGCATCCATTAACAGTTTATAAGTAAAATGACACGCATATTGACAGTTAGATAAGGCCTAAAGTCAAATTAATCGTTATATAAACTTACCTTTTCAGTTCATTTTTGTAATAACCCTATATAAAAGGGTCGACTTTAACTATATATATACTTCGTTTCTGTACATGTTTCTGGTATCAGTACTTTACTCCACGACTTTTTACTTTGACTTCTTACATTTTGAACACAAATACCTGTACTTTCTACTTCTTACATTTTGAACACAAATACCTGTACTTTCTACTTCTTACATTTTGAACACAAATACCTGTACTTTCTACTTCTCACATTTTGAACACAAATACCTGTACTTTCTACTTCTTACATTTTGAACCCAAATACCTGTACTTTCTACTTCTTACATTTTGAACACAAATACCTGTACTTTCTACTTCTTGTTGAACACAAATACCTGTACTTTCTACTTCTTACATGTTGAACACAAATACCTGTACTTTCTACTTCTTACATTTTGAACACAAATACCTGTACTTTCTACTTCTTGTTGAACACAAATACCTGTACTTTCTACTTCTTACATGTTGAACACAAATACCTGTACTTTCTACTTCTTACATTTTGAACACAAATACCTGTACTTTCTACTTCTTACATTTTGAACACAAATACCTGTACTTTCTACTTCTTGTTGAACACAAATACCTGTACTTTCTACTTCTTACACTTTGAACACAAATACCTGTACTTTCTACTTCTTGTTGAACACAAATACCTGTACTTTCTACTTCTTACATGTTGAACACAAATACCTGTACTTTCTACTTCTTACATTTTGAACACAAATACCTGTACTTTCTACTTCTTACATTTTGAACACAAATACCTGTACTTTCTACTTCTTGTTGAACCTGTACCTTCTACTTTCTACTTCTTACACTTTGAACACAAATACCTGTACTTTCTACTTCTTGTTGAACACAAATACCTGTACTTTCTACTTCTTGTTGAACACAAATACCTGTACTTTCTACTTCTTACATTTTGAACACAAATACCTGTACTTTCTACTTCTTACATTTTGAACACAAATACCTGTACTTTCTACTTCTTACATGTTGAACACAAATACCTGTACTTTCTACTTCTCACATGTTGAACCCAAATACCTGTACTTTCTACTTCTTACATGTTGAACACAAATACCTGTACTTTCTACTTCTCACATTTCCCAAACAGGCTGGTTCCTTTAGTTTGAATGTGTGTTTGGTGGCGTGATCATTATTATTTAGAGTCATTGCGTGCCTATTGATTTGAACACGATCCGTGTATCCATTATTTCCTGGTCTTCTCTAAAGAAGAGGGACCAATGAAAACGTTGTCATGTTGCCGTTGTTCAGCATGGAAACATTCATTAGCTAACAATGACATTATTGTTCTATTAATATAAAGGGAGGTCAGGTACTCTTTAAAACAGCTGCTAGTTATGGGTACTTTTTACTGAAGTACATTTCAAAGCCCTCTTTACTTTGACTTGAGTAAAGAAGTTTAGTCAGTACTTCTACTTTTACCAGAGTATTTTTAAACACGAGTATCTGTACTTCTACTTGAGTAAAGGATGTGTGTACTTCTACTTGAGTAAAGGATGTGTGTACTTCTACTTGAGTAAAGGATGTGTACTTGTCCCTCTCTGGTCAGGTGGTACTGGCAGAAGCAGAAGCTGCAGCCGTACGTTGACTTCATGAAGAAGAATTATCCTCCAGACTTTAAGTATCAGGACTTCGCTCCACAGTTCACCGCAGAGTTCTTCGATGCCAAAGAGTGGACCGACATCTTCGCCTCATCGGGAGCAAAATACATCGTCCTGACCACGAAACACCACGAAGGTACGAGACATCCTGCTGAACAGATTTGATTCTAATTTAACTTTTGTGCTACACTTTAAAGGTCTCCTATTATGCTATTTGTAGGCATATATTATGGGTCTCAGATATATACAAATATATAAAAACATGTTTTTTTGCTCAAAATACAAACATATCATGCATTTCAGACATCCCTCATATCCCTCTATTCCAGCCCTGTTAAAGAAACGCGGGAGAGCGGGGGAGCTAATGCCTGCTCAGAATTCTACCGGCAGATACAGCTAAATGCTGCCGTGATTAAACACCATCATGTTCCAAACCACATCAAGCATTATTTCTGAAACAGTAGCGCAAATGCTCTTTCTAACCCAATTTCAAAGCGCTTAAACTAAGCTATAATTGCACATATTAGTGATGCATTGTTTAATATGTTCAGGTTTCACGCTGTGGGGCTCGAAGACCTCGTGGAACTGGAACTCTGTGGACGTGGGTCCGAAGAGAGATCTGGTAGACGAGGTGGCGACGGCGCTGCGAGAGAACAGCGACCTGCGGCTCGGACTGTACCACTCTCTGTTCGAATGGTTCAACCCGCTGTTCGAGCAGGACGCTGCTAACGGCTTCAAAACAAACCTCTTCCCCTCCAGTAAGACGCTGCCCGAGCTTTATGAGCTCATCACGAAGTACAAACCCGAGGTTCTGTGGTCGGACGGAGACGGAGACGCTCCCGACTTGTACTGGAACAGCACCGGGTTCCTGGCCTGGCTCTACAACGACAGGTAACCTACAGGAGAGATCACACACTTTATGTTTTGATTTTGAGAAAAAGTCATAATTATGAGATTTCTTTGAAAGATTTTTGAGTTTTTTTGTAAACGAAAAGTCCAAATTTTGAGATTTTGAAAAAAAAAAGTCAGCATTTAGAGAATTTCATTAAACGTAAGTGTGTTAACGGGCTGTTCATAAATATTTAAAAACAAAGATGTATTTGTTTCCTTGGCAGGAAAAGGGATAATCTGCGATTTAAAGATTTACTTTTACTAAAAAATGTTACAGGAGAGATCAGACACTTTATTTACTGTTACTAAGATATCGTACAGGAGAGATCAGACACTTTAGTTACTGTTACTAAGATATCGTACAGGAGAGATCAGACACTTTATTTACTGTTACTAAGATATCGTACAGGAGAGATCAGACACTTTAGTTACTGTTACTAAGATATCGTACAGGAGAGATCAGACACTTTAGTTACTGTTACTAAGATATCGTACAGGAGAGATCAGACACTTTATTTACTGTTACTAAGATATCGTACAGGAGAGATCAGACACTTTAGTTACTGTTACTAAGATATCGTACAGGAGAGATCAGACACTTTAGTTACTGTTACTAAGATATCGTACAGGAGAGATCAGACACTTTAGTTACTGTTACTAAGATATCGTACAGGAGAGATCAGACACTTTAGTTACTGTTACTAAGATATCGTACAGGAGAGATCAGACACTTTAGTTACTGTTACTAAGATATCGTACAGGAGAGATCAGACACTTTAGTTACTGTTACTAAGATATCGTACAGGAGAGATCAGACACTTTAGTTACTGTTACTAAGATATCGTACAGGAGAGATCAGACACTTTAGTTACTGTTACTAAGATATCGTACAGGAGAGATCAGACACTTTAGTTACTGTTACTAAGATATCGTACAGGAGAGATCAGACACTTAAGTTACTTTTGTGATGGAAACTTCTGGATCAATGGAGACTCGGAGAGACACGGGGAGAGCAGGAGCTTTGATGGAAACACTGATGGTTTATTTGGAGCTTCGGCCGGAGAATTCACAAGAGATGTTCTGTGTTTCTGAAGATCTCTACCCCAGACCATGTATTTAGCTCTGAGAGAATAATCAACATTGTGCATAACAAGAAAGAACCATAACACCTCTATCAGCTGACGCCAACAGGCAGGAACAGGGAGACAGAACACTGAGAGCACAGCAGCCCAAGGTTGAAGGCAAACATTATTTTACATTTTTACTCAAAATCACAAAATTCTTACTTTCTTCTCAAAATTGATTTTTTTAAAACTTTTTTTTCCTCAAAACCCACTTTTTTAAAAAGTTTTTCAGAAAATCTAAACAGTCTGACTTGATTTAGAAATTCTCAAAATTCTGATTTTTTTTCGCAAAATCTTCAAATCCTGAACTTCTCAAAGTTGCCGAATTCTGACGTTTTTCTCATAAATTTCTCAGCATTTTCTCTATTCTCACGTGTTATTTCCCACAGTCCTGTGCGCAACACGGTGGTGACGAACGACCGCTGGGGCTTCGGATCCATCTGCAAACACGGAGGTTTTTACACCTGCAGCGACCGATACCTGCCGGGACACCTGATGACACACAAGTGGGAAAACTGCATGACCCTCGACAGGAAGTCGTGGGGATACAGACGCAACGCAATGCTCAAAGACTACATGAGCATCCAGGAGCTCGTAGCCGTGAGAGAGAGATATTTATTATAATTGTAACAAAGAAAAACAAAAATAAACAATAAAACATATGTAATAATAGTAATAAAAAAAGATGTATATATATTTATTAATAATACAAATACAACATATTTAATAATAATACAAATAAAGAATAAAAAAAATAGGTATTAATCATGAAAAATAAAGAATGACAAATATATATTATTAGTTAACAATAAATAATTATAACATACTGCTTTATTAATAATTAGAAATTTAAAAATAATTAAAAAAATAATGTTTGATAATTAAGAAATAAATACTGTAAATATTTTTAACAAAAAATCTTCAATTAGAAGGGAACCTGCTGATGAACTATGTTCTGGCTTTAGTTGCAGCCATAAAGATACAAAATAATATTATATATAAAAAAATCAAGAAATATTAAAATCGAATCGAAGAATTATTACAATTAAATAAAAATATACTATTAAAAATATATATATATAAAAGTGTTTTTTGTTTTTTTACAATATGATTATAATATATGATTTAAAGGTCACCTATTATGCAAAATCCACTTCTTCATGTCTCTTCTACATCAACATGTGTCCCCTCTTCTTCATGTCTCTTCTACATCAACATGTGTCCCCTCTTCTTCATGTCTCTTCTACATCAACATGTGTCCCCTCTTCTTCATGTCTCTTCTTCATCAACATGTGTCCCCTCTTCTTCATGTCTCTTCTACATCAACATGTGTCCCCTCTTCTTCATGTCTCTTCTTCATCAACATGTGTCCCCTCTTCCTCATGTCTCTTCTTCATCAACATGTGTCCCCTCTTCTTCATGTCTCTTCTACATCAACATGTGTCCCCTCTTCTTCATGTCTCTTCTTCATCAACATGTGTCCCCTCTTCTTCATGTCTCTTCTTCATCAACATGTGTCCCCTCTTCTTCATGTCTCTTCTACATCAACATGTGTCCCCTCTTCTTCATGTCTCTTCTTCATCAACATGTGTCCCCTCTTCTTCATGTCTCTTCTACATCAACATGTGTCCCCTCTTCTTCATGCCTCTTCTTCATCACCATGTGTCCCCTCTTCTTCATGTCTCTTCTACATCAACATGTGTCCCCTCTTCTTCATGTCTCTTCTACATCAACATGTGTCCCCTCTTCTTCATGTCTCTTCTACATCAACATGTGTCCCCTCTTCTTCATGTCTCTTCTTCATCAACATGTGTCCCCTCTGTGGAAAGAGACTCTGAAAGTTTCAGGAACAAAGATTCTCTCTCTTTTTGATCCATTTCTATAAAAACCTGTCTGAAAATGAGCTGATCAGATTTTGGCCACTTGATGATGTCATAACGATGTTTTGTCTTGTGTAACCATTAGCCAATCAGCAACCAAGGTAACCCCCCCCCCCCCCCCCCCCCCCCCCTTATCACCTGAATCTCCTCCTAGAGCACCATTGAGTTCTTTGTAACCAAATCTCTCTCAGAGGGGCGTGGGGAGGGGCTCCTTATTTTCATCTAAAGTTACAGACAGAGAATCAGCACTTTGGAAACAGGGCTGAAACAGAGGGGATTATGGGTAATGCTGCAATGATCTGTTTGGTGTTTCAGCCAATCAGAGACAGGCTCTGTATATATCTGAGAGCTGTGATATATTGATGAAGAAGAGTATAATAAGAGACCTTTAATAATACATATATATATATATTTATATATGTGTGTAGATGCTGGTGGAGACGGTGTCCCTTGGGGGGAACCTCCTGATGAACGTGGGTCCGACCCCCGACGGGAGGATCCCCCCCCTCAGCGAGGAGAGACTCAGACAGATGGGTCTCTGGCTGCAGGTCAACGGGGGGGCGATCTATAACACTACGCCATGGAGGGCGCAGAACGACAGCCGGACCCCTAACCTGTGGTGAGAACATTTCATTAGGTTATTCTTTATTCTTTATTAAGATCCCCATTAGCATGAGCATTGGCTATTCTTCCTGTCGTCCTCACACACAAAACATACATAAAACAAAATTAAAACAAAACCGCTCATCATTTCATGCAATTTACAATGCTGTATGAAGTGAAAACTAAAATGGCTTCCAATTTGAGCCATCATAAGGCCAAACAAAAAAATACGAATGATTGTACATAATAATACATAAATACCCAGTTATTTATATTAAAGCTCCCATGACATGCTTTTCTGGTTATTACCCGTCCCCTTGTGTTCTGTAGCTTCTGCATGTAAACGGTCTGCAGAGTCACAAACCCTCAAAGTTCACCCTGTAGCGAGTAAAACTCTAACACAGAGAAGACCTGTCTATGCTGCCCCAGAACGCCTCGTTGGACATTTCTCTTTTTCTTCCTGAGTACAGTGACGTGCCCATACCCAAATGGACCCATTGGGGTCCCATCTGAGCTCCTCCAACAATGCAACATTATATAATAAAATACACAAATACAAAAACAAAATATTGCTAGAAGTCTCTATACGTGTAAAAATAATATGATATGTACAAGAACAGAATGTAAAATTAAATAATGTAAATGTAGACGTGATTTAAATGCCCAGAAAAACCTAGAATACTTTCTTCAGATTACGTGAAAAATAATTTCCGCTCATTTTTACCACTTTTTCCTCCTCCTGTGTTTCAGGTACACGTTCAGACCGCAGGAAGAAATCATCTTTGCCATTTTCCTGGAGTGGCCCAAAGATGGATTTGTGGTTCTGAGTGAACCTGTGGCTGTACCTGGACTCACTCAGGTACTCATATATATATACATATATACAAACATGTACGTTCACATACACACACACATCTCACATGGTCGTCAGGGTTATCTCATTTCTCCACTTGTTCCATATTTCCTCAAATGTGTTTTCCTGAAGCCTCGTTGAGAAAGTGATTCTTTCCATAACATACATCTCATGAACTTTGTCGTACCAGTTGTCGAGAGAAGAGATGTCCGCTTTGAGACATTTTCTAGTTATTGCTTTTTTTGCTGCAACAGTAAGAATTTCAAATAATTCCAAATACATTATTTGTGTATGTTTTTGTTTCTGCAGGTGGAGCTGCTGGGAGTCGGGCCCCTGCAGTGGGAGGCAGCGCCCTCTGGTGGATGTCTGAGGGTCCGTCTGCCCCCCCTCACACCCAGAGAGATGCCCTGTGACTGGGGCTGGACCCTCAGGCTGAGAGGGGCCAAGTGAACAGGAAGTAACGGAGCAGACACAGGAAGTAACGGAGCAGACACAGGAAGTGACGGAGCAGATACAGGAAGTGACGGAGCAGATACAGGAAGTGACGGAGCAGATACAGGAAGTGACGGAGCAGATACAGGAAGTGACGGAGCTGCGAGATGTGTTCAAATCAGTTAAAACGAAGATTAAAATGATGGGAAAAGTATTGTTGATGATATTTCATGTGGTGAAAAGTACTTCTGTATCTCCATTATTTTGCTAATTTAAATTCTACTTTACTTCATTTTGGAAGCACGTTTTGTGCTTTTAACTGCAATTATTATACATTAGTTACTTTGCAGATTAAGATCAGGAATGTGGAACAAGAATCCAAAATGTAGATAAACAGTTCAAATGGTCATTAATGGATATTCTTTGTTGTACCTTACAGGGTTCTTACGGTCATTAAAAACCTGGAAAAGTCATGGAAATTCAAAATGCTAATTCCAGGCCCTGGAAAAGTTATGGAAAACAATATGTTTCCCAAAGTTTTGGAAAAGTCATGGAAATGTAACTAAAGTTGCATCAAATATAATTTATATTTTATCTGATCGCCGAAAGTAATACTATAATGATAATAAATACTGTATCGTATAGTAATGAAACGTAAAATGGCATTTAACTGTCGAGGTATTTTGCTGGTGAGAGATTTGAGTTGCTGTAGCGTGTAGAAGCTTGTAAGCCTACTATTTGATTTGTTTCAGATAGGCACAACATGTTTCATATGCAGACCTTATTTTCCTGTTCCATGTTAAAATAAACCATTTTCAGTGGTACGCTGAGAAAGAGTAATTTTTTTGGTCATGGAAAATTAGGTAAAGGTCCTGGAGAAAATCATTGGTGAAAAAGTGTATGAACCCTGACCTTAACAATATGCTGCGTTCACACCGGACGCAATGCGAATATTCGCTTCGCTCTAATCGCTCTTATCGCATCGCTCTAAACCAGGGGTGTCCAATACGTCGAAGGTAGTGTGGGTAGATCGCATGGCATTTTTTAATTATAGCCTATCGTCCATCCTTACTATGGCATTTGCCACTTGATTGACGTACAGGTAAGCCAGTCTGAGATCTCATCTTGTCTAACACGCAGTTCCCTGCACGCATGGGCTGCAAATCACCGACGAGCTGATGACCTAGTTAGCCAATTTATACATATCTACTACAGAAAGGGTATAAAATGTACAGAGTTGTATTGTGCCATACGGGTTCATGCAGTTATGAGGGGGCCTCACCTCCTCACCTGAAGCGCTAATGCGGCACAATTAGTGTAAGCGTGCCACAGTTTATCCGCCGCTTAGTCCACTATCACACCCCCCCCCCCCCCGCCCCCCCCCAGGGACGGCCCTGTAGGTAGATCATTTGGGCTTGGTCATTTTCAAAGTAGCTCCCAAGCTGAAAAAGTGTGGGCACCCCTGCTCTAAACGCACACACACACACACACACACACACACACACACATACTCTAGATGTGTTCCCCCCCTTATGAGCCCAATCCCCCCATGTGAATCACACCTGGCACACACACACACACACACACACACACACACACACACACACACACACACAGAACAATTTGATACATGTCCCGCTCTTATGTGCCCATCCCCCCACATGGATCACACCTGGCACACGCAATACATGTTCAGGGTCTATTCTTTGTATATTTACTGCAGTTGTTCATGTATACCAGTAGTCTGATACAATATGTACAGTTTGAAAGGGTGTTAAATGACATTTGGTGATGATTAATGGTTTTTGTGTTAATGTAATAGCAGTTAAAACAGGACCGGTCAAATTTGACCGTGAACACCAACGTAAGGGGGGGGGGGGGGGAACGAAGACAATAGGAGGGTTAATACTTACAAGGCGGGGCTAATGTTAGCATCGGGACGCGCACCCAAGTTTCAGTCACACAGTCAATATTTCTCTGAATTTTAATTCTACTCTACTACATTTTGAAGTTAATATTGTGCTTCAAACTTAATTTATATGACATTATTTAAATTGCAGATTCATGAATACTATTTTGATGCTAAAACTTTTGCTTTTATTCCAGCTTATTTTTTACTGCAGGACTGTATGGTCCTTCCTGCAATAACACCGTCTGTAAATATAAAGTGTGATAAACCCTCCTGCAGTTTCACGTTTATTACCATGCTGTACATATCTGCTTTTTTACTTATTGTGTTATTAATAACGTGCGCAGTTCTAATAAAGTACAGCGGTTGATCCTACTTTGTTTTCTGAGGTTTTATAAGTGAAGGAATGTAGAAATAAAGCAGATTAAATATTGAAGCACAAACCTGTATGTGTTTTTTTTACTGTCTCATATTTGCGTGTGGAAAATAGAGAATATCCTTGAAATAAATGAAGTTTTTTGTATATTTTTTGTATTTTATCAGGTTATCTTGCCCCCCCGTTATCGCCCCCTGCTGTTCACATGTCTAACTGCACCCCGGCCTTATGTGACATCAGAGCTGACTTTAAACAGCCTGTTGTGCACCGCGAGGAGCCCGGAAACACACAATCCCGTCATGCATTAGGGGAATAACAATGATATTTAATAATCTGCATGTTGCACTAAAACTAGCAGCCCTCTGGATTGTTTTTAAATGGAGTTGAAATCGCGTTTTACATCCGGAAATCAGCGATATTATTATTATAGAGATTAGCTGTCACCTGCAGATGGAGATGTTTCTGCACGCATTTAAGAGGGTGTGTGTGTGTGCGTGTGTGTGTGTGTGTGTGTGTGTGTGTGTGTGTGTGTGTGTGTGTGTGTGTGAGGGGGGGGGTCCCTCTCTGCAAATGTTCCATGACGTGCAGATGGGGGGTCAGTAAGGGGGTCTCAGGTCCGTGAAACCCCCCCCCCCCCAAAAGCAGGCTTTCCCCGGACAGCTGATCCCCCAAACAACAACAACAACAGGAAGTAAGAGGAGATCTGAGGACACACACACACACACACACGCTATATTATGCAAATGAGGCGTTATGTAATGCACATTTTTGGTGGTTTTAGGAGATATCTGCAGACACAAACAGACAATAGTGGAAATCGTATGAAAAACACACACGAGACCAAAAAGGACAAAAATAAAGACACAAATATTTTAAAAAATGACTAAAAGAGACAACATTTTTTTAGAAAAAAGGACACAAAATGACCAAAAACACAAAAATCCCACAGAATGAGAATTGAAAGAAATCCTATGAAAAAATACAGAGATGCTGAAACAAGGAATGTACACAAAATTACTAAAAGAGACAAAGAAAACACAGAAACACAAGAATCCCACAGAATGACAATTAAAATAAATGTTATGCTGAAGAGATGCTGAAACAAGGAATACCCCAAACTACTGAAGAGACCCCAAACTACTGAAGAGACCCCAAACTACTGAAGAGACCCCAAACTACTGAAGAGACCCCAAACTACTGAAGAGACTCCAAACTACTGAAGAGACCCCAAACTACTGAAGAGACTCCAAACTACTGAAGAGACTCCAAAACACAAACAAATACTCATAAAATGTCCAAATGAATATCAAACCATAAGATTGCATTGAAAATCTATTTGACATTTATTTTGCTAACATTTGTCAGATTTTGGGAAAGTACAAAGTCGTAGAGTACAAAAATATAGAATATAAAAATGCATTATGGGTAAAGATGCTGTAAGTGAATCCTTTGGTAATAAATAAGAACATTTGCCGTCATGTTGGGTTTCCTGCTCGTTAGCAGCGAGTGCAGCTTCATTCAAACGCCTCTCTGACGCACTGTGTTCCTCTGCAGCTTTACACCAGGCGGTAATTATATATGTCGACAGGAAACGGATAAAGAACCTGGATACAGACGTTAGCTGGGTTACCATGGAAACACACAATCATGTGGAGATTATTTTCAGGTACGGTGAGAAAAACTGCAGAGTCGAGAGGAAGAGGAAGAGGAAGAGGAAGAAGGTAAATAATGATCCACTGATCAGGAGGTGAAGAAGTAACGAGGATCTGACAGAATACAGAGATGCTGAGACAAGGAAAGGAATTAGAGGGTCAAAATGAGAACAGGAAGACTCAAAAACACACAGAAATACTACAAGACGGACACAACCATGTAAATAAATACAATCAATAACACAATAGACCAAAAATGACTAAATAATGACACAAACAAATTGATCCATAAACACCCCCCCACTAATATCATTAGAGGACTGCACGCAGCTGTGTAGTGCAGATTTAAGGCTGATTTGAGAGTCAGAACGAGGTGGATTTCAGGAAGATATGAAGCTGATTTATTGCTGATTTGAGGAAGATATGAAGCTGATTTATTGCTGATTTCAGGAAGATATGAAGCTGATTTATTGCTGATTTGAGGAAGATATGAAGCTGATTTATTGCTGATTTGAGGAAGATATGAAGCTGATTTATTGCTGATTTCAGGAAGATATGAAGCTGATTTATTGCTGATTTCAGGAAGATTTGAAGCCGATTTATTGCTGATTTCAGGAAGATATGAAGCTGATTTATTGCTGATTTCAGGAAGATTTGAAGCTGATTTATTGCTGATTTCAGGAAGATTTGAAGCTGATTTATTGCTGATTTCAGGAAGATTTGAAGCCGATTTATTGCTGATTTCAGGAAGATATGAAGCTGATTTATTGCTGATTTCAGGAAGATTTGAAGCTGATTTATTGCTGATTTCAGGAAGATTTGAAGCTGATTTATTGCTGATTTCAGGAAGATATGAAGCTGATTTATTGCTGATTTTAGGAAGATGTGAAGCTGATTTATTGCTGATTTCAGGAAGATGTGAAGCTGATTTATTGCTGATTTCAGGAAGATATGAAGCTGATTAGATGCTGATTTGATTTGGGCAGAAATCAGGCTGATTTGAGGAAGATGTGAAGTGGATTTGGGGAAGACTTTAGTGAAATTAGAGGCAGATTCAAGGCTGATGTGTCTGGTGACAGAATGAGGCTGATTTAACACAGATTTGAAGCAGATCTGAGGGAGATTTTTGGCATATATTTAGCAGATTTAAGGCTGATTTGAGACTCAGAATGAGGAAGATTTCAGGAAGATATGAAGCAGATTTATTGCTGATTACAGGCTGATTTGAAGCAAATAGGAAGTGGATTTGAGGAACATTTGAGAGAAATCTGAGGATTTAACACAGGTTTGAAGCA